CCTTCGGGCCCTGGGCTGGGACGGGGAACTGGGGGTGGGTGGCGGCAGATGTGGCCCCTTTCCCAGCAAGGCCAAGAGCCGCACCCTCCTTGGAGCCGGTGGCCAACCTCCTGTGGTCCCTCCCCCTGGCCAGCCAACCTCCCACGGTCCCTCCCCACTTGTGCATGAATTCTTGCACCGGGCCTCTAGTCAATGATAAAAGCCAAATGGAAGTCAACACTTGGGATAGAGATAATAATGGGAGGGATCACAATAGAGCCTTCTGGGGATTTGGAGAAGTCCTATATCTTGATCTGTGCAGTGTTGTCTCGGTGCACATGTGAAAATATTTATCAAGTTTTATAATTAAGATTTGTGCTGTTTGCTATATATGTATGTAATACCTAAATTTAAAACAACAGCCCTAACCGGTTTGGCTCAGTGGATAAAGCATCGGCCTGTGGACTGAAGGGTCCCAGGTTCAATTTTGGTCAAGGGCATGTACCTTGGTTGCTGGCAAATCCCCAGTGGGGGGCGTGCAGGAGGCAGCTGATGGATGTTTCTCTCTCATCGATGTTTCTAACGATCCCTCTCCCTTCCTCTCTGTAAAAAATCAGTAAAATATATTTAAAAACAAAAATAAATAAATAAATAAATAAATAAATAAATAAATAAATAAATAAAAACAAAACCAACAACAACAGTGCAATAGGAGCACAGAAAAAGAAGTGCCTAACTCTGAGTAAAGAAATCAGGGAATCAGAGAAGATTGCCCAGCTGGTATGGCTCAGTGGTTGAGCATCACCTATGAACCAGGAGGTCATGGTTCAATTCTCAGGCAGGGCATATGCCCAGGTTTCAGGCCCCTCAGTGGGGTGCATGCAGAAGGCAGCCAATCAATGATTCTCTCTCATCACTGATGTTTCTCTCTCTCCCTCCCTCTCTCTCTTTCTCTCTCCCTTTCTGAAATCAATAAAAATATCTTTAAAAAAAAAAGAAATCAGGGAAGACTTCTCTGGGAATGTTTGAACTGGACCTTGAATAGGAACTTGTTAAAATGGGATTGCATATCAGAGAAGACAAATACTATATGATTTTATTTATATGTGGACTCTAACAAAAACCAAAACAAGCAAACAAAAGAGAAACAGACTCACAGATACAGTGAACAAACTGATGGTTGCTAGATGGGAGGGAAGTTGGAAGACTGGTGAAAAAGATGAAGGGATTAAGAAGTACAAATTGGCCCTAGTTGGTTTGGCTCAGTGGATAGAGCATCGGCCTGCAGACTGAAGGGTTCCGGGTTTGATTCTGGTCAAGGGCACATGCCCAGGTTGTGAGCTCGATCCCCAGTAGGGGGCGTGCAGGAGGCAGCCAATCAGTGATTCTCTCCCCTCATGGATGTTTCTATCTCTCCCTCTCCCTCTCTGAAATCAATAAAAATATATTTTAAAAAAAGGAAGTACAACTTGGCAGTTACAAAGTAATCATAGGGATGTAAAGTACAGCATAGGGAATATAGTCAATAATATAATAACTATGCATGGTGAGTACTAGACTTTTTTTGGGAATCATGTCATAAGTTATATAAATGTCTAATCACTATGCTGTATAATTTTTAAAAAATCATAAAAATGTCTATCCATCGACTTGTAATCCTATTCTTGGGAATTTATCCCAAAGAAATAAACATAGGATGAAAGCTATATGCATCATATCTAATGTAAAAAAACAACAAAAAAAAACCCACCAAAAAATAGAAACAATCTGAATGTCTAATAAAAAGGATAAATAAATTATTGCCTGAGTAATATTATATAGACTCTAGAGGCCTGGTGCATGAAATTTGTGCACGGGTAGGGTCCCTAGGCCTGGCTGGCGATCAGAGCCAGTTGGGACCTTCCTTTCCCCAGCTGCCAGCTGCCGGCCAGGGCCTTCCTTCATTCTGTGCCGCCCCTGGTGGTCAGCACACGTCATAGCGAATGGTCGAACTCCCGGTCAGTCGAACTCCTGAGTGGACAATTTGCATATTAGCCTTTTATTATATAGGATTACAAGGATTATTATGAAAGCTGTAGAATCATAGAAAAGTTTATATTTCATAATTAGTGAAAAAGGCAATATATATTACTACTATACTTATGTAAAATGGGCTATGCATATGGACAAAGTCTAAAATGAAACATGCAAATATAAAAATCATTGCATAAAAAGATTATGATGCCCTGACCGGTGTGGCTTGGTACACTGAAGGTCGCAGTTTCAAAACCCAATAATGTCACATAGGTTGGGCGTGAGAAGCAATGGATTGGTGTATCTCTCGCACATTGATATTTCTCTCTCTCTTCCTTCCCTTCTCTCTAAAAATCAATGAACATGTCCTCGGGTGAGGATTAAAAAACATGTTATGGACCCGGCCCCAAATGTTAACAGTGCCAAGGTGGAGAAAGGGCGGTGAACCTAACACGTGAATCTGAAAGAAAGACTGTGACCGTCTCCGTGGATAAAAGGAGAATACAGGAGGAAATCTCCGAGAAGCGCCTGAAGATAGAGGAGGAGAAGCTGCAGCACCAGCACCTGAAGAAAAAGGCCCTGCCGGACGGAGTCGGAGTCGGAGTCGGAGTCGGAGTCGGCGGCCGGCGGGAAGGAGCAGGAGGAGCTGAAGAGGCAGAACCCGCAGGACCAGCGCCAGATCCAGGCCCTGGACCGGAGCATCCTCAGGCTTGAAAAAGAGATCCAAGACCTTGAAAGGGCTGAGCTGCAGATCTAGACTCACGAAGAGGAGATTTTAAAGAAACTAACATCCGTGGAGAGGACAACGGAAGACACAATAAGGTCTGTGAAGGTGGAAACGGAAGCAACGCCAGGAGAGTCGATTGAAGACATCTATGCTAATATCCCCGACCTTCCAAAATCTACATCCCTTCCCAGTTAAGGAAGGAAAGAAATGATGGACTAGAAGGCGATGAGCAAAATAGAAAAGCTCTGGACGCCATGGAAATCAAGGTGGAGAAAGACCTGAAGACGGGCGAGAGCACAGTTCTGTCCTCCGTCCCGCTGCCGTCGGAGGATTTCACAGGCGAGGTCGGTGTACGCAGTCAGCTCCGACCACAGGGCCGGGGGCCGCGGAGGAGGAGGACCTCCCGAGACAGGCGTCCGAGAGGAGCTCCCTCCCCGACCGAGTACCACGAGCCAGTACCACGAGCCCGGCGACGCCAACCCCTTCTGCAGGCCCCCCCCCCCGAGAAAGCAGCCCTCGGACCCAACCTCCAGGAAAGGATCCAGAGGCGGCAGGAACCAGAGGCGGCAGGAACCACTCCGTCCACCACGTGGACAACGGGCTGTCGGGGGAGAGGGGTGACCACTGGCATCCACACAGCCCCCCTCGGCCGACCCCTCACCCCCGCCGATGGGTGACTCCGCTTGGGAAGGAGCGGATGGGACAGATGGGACGCCGGACCAGCAGGCGCCCTCCCCCAGGGCAAGGCCGGGCCCCAGAGGAGGGCTCGCTGGGAGGTCTGAGCGCCAGAGCCCTTCTCCCACGTGGCAGGGGGCCGAGGAAGACGTGCGATACAACCTCATGCACTCGCTGCCTTCTGACATGGACGCGCGGAGCCCGTGACCGTGATCTTCATGGGGTACCAGCAGGCAGAAGACCATGCGGAGGAGAGGGGGCTCCTGACGGGCTAGGACGGCGTCATCCGTGCCGAGCTGGTTGTCATCGAGGAGGAGGAGGGCGAGGGAGAAGCTGGGAACCTGCCCCCCAGCCCAGGGCGCACGGTCAGGCGCACCCGCCGGCCAGGCCAACACCTCTCCCCAGGGAGAGAGCGGAGGTCAAGCCCGCGGAGAACGCACGCCATCCTTCTCCCCGCAAACACTCCCCGTCGCTGAGAGAGCAAAAGGAACGCCTGGGCAGCCCTGTCCGCGCGCCTCCACATGCTGCCCAGACAGCCGGGGGCGGCACGGAGGGCCCGTCGCTCACAGCTTTAAGGATAAGAATGGCAAAGCTGGGGGAAAAAGTTATCTGAGAGAGAGGTGTACCAGCTACATAAGCATACTTTGGAGAAGAAACTACGAAATGTTTGCCACTTTCTCTCCTGGATACTGTGTTTCTTTCTTTTTCTTTTCGATCCAAAAAAAAAAAAATTACAATTATATCCATATTAAGCCATTTGAGTAAGCAGTAGCCATTATTTGTAAAAACAAAAAAGTATATATATTGCAAAAAAGCTGGGAGAACAAACACTCAACTTTTCCAGTTACTTGACATGATTCAGTGGGGGTGAAAACCAGAATATTTTTATTGTATTGATACCAAAACATTTCTAATAAGAGCTTGTTAAATTTAAGAATAAAGTAAAATAAAAACAAACCAAAAAAACATGTTATGGTGAAATATATTCTTATTTCTTATAGATTGCCCTCATAATAAAGTTATTTTTTAAATCTTAAAAATAGGGGCGGGGGTCACAGATCTCCCACCCAGGGAGCACCACCAAGTAAGTGTTCAGCAGCCTGGTGTGGCTGTGCTACAAAGATGAGAGTGACTTGGGACTTGAACAAAACATGTTAGAAGGCACCATGTAAATAAAGGAGCTATAGAACACACCCATTGAGCTAAGAGCAAAGCAAGGAGGGTGACAAAGACAACATGGGACCGTTCTGCTCAGGCCTGCTCTCCCTGAGAGCCCGAATTCTCACTGAGTGAAACAGACATGGCCGCTGGTGTGTGACACAGTGCTGCTTGGGAAAGAAGGGAAGGTAAGATATTTCTCCACAGGGGTTTGATTACAGAAACTAATATTCTTAAGATATTTCTCACTGGTGCGTCCTCTGACTCATGAAGACGTTTTAGCTCACGAGGCCATGCCTCCCGGTTCCTTTCTTAGGGTCACATGAAAATGAGCCGCGGGTGGGTCATCAGGAGAGGGCTCTCCAGGAAGAGGAAAGTGCCTTTAAAGGAAGCCTGTGGGCAGTGGTGTGGGGGCGCGCGCGCACACACACACACACACACACTCGCGTGGGGTGATCTCTCCATATATACAGAGCCGCCCTCGGCTCCTCGAGGGTCCTGAAGGAGGATCCCCTGGGTGGGGTCCTGCAGGAATCCCGGTTGGAGCTGACAGGAGTCAGGCTCACTCTGAAGGTTCTCTCCCGGTTCTCTCTCTCCCCTCCTGATTTTTGCCATGGGATGCAGGTAAGTAGGAATGAAAGGGCCCAGTGAGGTAATGGCCGGGGACAGTGTGGCCTAGCAGTTCAGAGCACTCAAAGGAGCCTGGTTCTGCCACTGAGCAGTTGTGCGGCGTCGGGTAATGCACGCAACTTCTCTGTGCCTCGGTCTCTCTGTCCACTTCAGGCCTTTCGCGTGCTTCCCCTACTTTCCCCTTCCCAACGTGGCCTGAGCCTGTCGTCAGTCCAGTCGCTTGGACGGCACTTCCCCAGGAGGTTTTAGCTCATGCCTGCAGGACAGGATTCCTCCAGGTGCTCCCGTCACACCGGGAGGTGGACGCCTCTGCTGGGCACTTGCTTATGACCGTGTCAGTGTCCCCACCGGACCTGGAGTTCCTCAAGAGAACAGACTGTATCTGAGTCACCATTGTACCCCTGACCCCTGGCACAGTGCCTCGCAGAAAGTGGTCCCCTAAATATTTGACTGTTCATGAAGGAATGAAAGAAAAGCCTGGCTGCCCTGACCGGTTTGGCTCAGTGGATGGGGCGTCGGCCTGTGGACTCAGGGGTCCCGGGTTCGATTCCGGTCAAGGGCATGTACCTTGGTTGTGGGCACATACCCAGTGGGGAGTGTGCAGGAGGCAGCTGATTGATGTTTCTCTCTCACCGATGTTTCTGGCTCTCTGTCCCTCTCCCTTCCTCTCTGTAAAAAATCAATAAAATATATTAAAAAAAGGAAAAAAAAAAGAAAGGAAAAGCCTGGCTGATGAATGAGGTAGACAGACACAGGGAACTGGCAGCCCCCTCCTCCAGAGGACTTACTTGACCACTTATATTGTTGCCCAGACATCCAGCCCAGGGTCTGTTCACCCAGCCGGGATCTCCGGTTGGAACATGGCCTCCCCTGAAGCCAGATTTTAAGGTTTTACCTTGTGATCCTGCTTGTCCCTTCCGATATCAAATTAGCCAACCTCTTTGCTAATCTCCTGGCTCACATTTTTGGAAGCATTTCCCAGAATGTTGTGGTTTCTAGGAAAACAGAGTCAGGGAGAGAAAGTGAAACTCAAACGAAGCCCTGGCCCTCCTGGATGGAGCATGATAGTAAGTCCTGTGGGCGTGAGGTCAGCCAGGATTCTCCGATTTCCACTCTTCCAGAGGCCAGCCTCAGCTTCTTAGTTTTCCCTCTGCGTGTCCATATTCTTTTGTTTCCCTTCTAAAACTCTCCTGACACGCCGAAACCGGTTTGGCTCAGTGGATAGAGCGTCAGCCTGCGGACTGAAGGGTCCCAGGTTCGATTCTGGTCAAGGGCATGTACCTGGGTTGCGGGCACATCCCCGGTGGGAGATGTGCAGGAGGCAGCTGATCGATGTTTCTCTCTCATCGATACTCTTCCAGAGGCCAGCCTCAGCTTCTTAGTTTTCCCTCTGCGTGTCCATATTCTTTTGTTTCCCTTCTAAAACTCTCCTGACAGGAAAATGTCACATAGCAGAGATGGTCGGGGGGCGGTTATGTTGGTGGTCTGGTCTAGACAGGCTTCCTCATAGGTGGAATGACATGAAGGCGGCTGGAGGCATTCCTGAAGGAAAGCTTCTCCCAGCTGGTCTAGAGACCATGCTTGGAAGTCCAACCTCACACCAGTCCTCACCGGGGCCCTCGACAAAACGTCAGTCATCTGGTGGGGTGTGGGTTGAAGTTGTTGCTTGCCAACACCCCCTCCTCCCCGAATTGATCCATTCACTGGAACAGAGAGCCCGGCCCTCGGTGACAAGACAGTCTGGGAGGGAGGTTGCCCAGACACACACTTGCATCCCAAACTGCGGGGAGGACTGTTATCCTATCGGGGCCCTGCCTCCTGACAGCAGGCAGGCTCTTCACCCCAGGACCCGAGGAGGAACAGCTGGTACTCGGGGCCTAAGCCAGGAAAAGAGGCCTCGTGTGATGGGTCAGCTCGGGGAGAGGGGAGGAGACAGGACACCTCGACTCGCCTGGTCCCTGATCTGCACCCTTGCTGTCAGGCTCCTTGTATCCCTGGGGTTCTGTTCCTTCACAGCCTATCCCAAACTGCCCCAGCACATGTCCCCTCTCCACTGAAATCTGAACTTTCATCAGAGACAAATTATTCAATTCACTGTGAGAAACAAGGCCCCGTGGAGAGGGCACGTGGGGAAGGCAACTCATCACACTGAAATGCAAATGCCATTGAAGCAGGAACTTCCCTGTTGGCAGGAGCCCGGAGATGAGCTTGGGCTCCGAGACAAGGGGGAGCAAAGGTCACCAAGGGCTGCGGGGGCTGGGGAATGAGGGAGAAGGGCAGGAGCAGCCCCCAATCAAGAGCCCTACTCAGTGCTCTGTCTGGCATCAGTCTCTCTACCATAAACATCAGTCTGGACAAAATAAAAATTTAGGTTAGTCATTCCTAGGAAGGGATCCAGAAAGGGATCCAATCAGAGAGGGCACACTTGGGGCTTCATAATATTAGCAGTAATGACCTCTCTGTAAACTGTTGTATTTACATGTTTAATTATCCCATACAATTTACAAGTACAAATATATTATATACATTATGTTTAATTCTTTAAACACTGAAATATTTTATTATATGTGTATGAGAGAGAGAGAATGATCCATACATTTAAAAAATATTATATGCAAAACCATGTGTTAGAGAGGAGTGTCAAGACCCTTAAGATGAGACAGACATGTAACTGAATACGAAGTGGCAACAGGCCACTTCTTCAGGAAGTCATGATATTGACCTTTTTTCAGATCCACATTGATGTGAGTTTACCCTAATATTACTAGTCCTATTCTATTTCATATATATATATGTATATGTACACACACTAATAAAAGAGAAACATGCAAATTGGTGTCACTCCGCTACACCCACCAGCCAATCAGAGTGACTATGCAAATTAACCCAACAAAAATGGCAGTTAATTTGCATACACAGGCTTGGAGTGAAGACTGAAGACTGAAGTCTGAAGAGGCTTGGCTTCTCCGCTGCGGCCTGACCAAAGGCCTGGGTCCCGGGTGCCGGGTGAAAACCGGTGCCAGCAGCCAGGGGAAGGAAGGCCAATTGCGAGAATCTTGGTGCAACAGGCTTCTAATATATATAACCAAGAAGTTCACATATCAGTGGAAATATAAAAGATTGTAATGGCTATAAGTAAAGGTATGGAGAAGACATTGTATAACTATATAGGCATGACATATTTTAAAAAATATATTTTATTGATTTTTTACAGAGAGGAAGGGAGAGGGACAGAGAGCCAGAAACATCGATGAGAGAGAAACATTGATCAGCTGCCTCCTGCACACTCCCCACTGGGGATGTGCCCGCAACCAAGGTACATGCCCTTGACCAGAATCGAACCTGGGACCCTTGAGTCCGCAGGCCGATGCTCTATCCAGTGAGCCAAACCCGTTAGGGCATAGGCATGACATTTTAATTTTTAATCAGTTTCATTGATATATAATTAAAATATAATAAAATTCATTAATTTTCAGAGTAGTTAGATGAGTTTTATCAATACATGTAGTTGTGTATTTACCAGCAGAATCTAGATTTAGGACATTTTGATCCCTTCAAAAAGTTTCCTATGTCCCTTATATTAATCCCCTCTTCCATTCCCAGCCCTTGGCAACCATGGATCTGCTTTCTGTCACTAGTTTCACTTTTTCTAGAATTTCATATAAACAGAATCATACAGTGAGTGGTCTTTGTTTCTGGCTTCTTTCACTTAGCATAATACTATTGAGATTTATCCATGTTGTTGCATGTATCTGCAGTTTTTTGCTTTTTTATAGCCTAGTAGTACTCAATTGTATGGATATACCACAATTTATCTATTCACATTAATGAACATCTGAGTTGTTTCTCATTTTTTTCCTTTCATTTTTTAAAATATATTTTTATTGATTTCAGAGAGGCAGGGGGAGGGAGATGGAAACATCAATGATGAGAGAGAATCATTGATTGGCTGCCTCCTGCACGCCCCCTACTGGGGATTGAGCCTACAACTCAGGCATGTGCCCTTGACTAGAATCAAACCTGAGACCTTTCAGTCCTCAGACCGACACTCTAGCCACTGAGCCAAACCAGCTAGAGCTCCTTTCATTTTTAATTGATTTTTTCTTATGGTAAAATATATGTAACAAAGTTTATTTTAACCATTTTAAAGTATACAGCTCAGTGGCATTAATTACATTCACAATGCTGTGTAACTATCACCACTACCTATTTCCAAAAATTTCCGTAACCCTAAACAATAACTCTGTAACCACTAAACAGTAACTTCCCATTCCCCCCTCCCTACAATCCTGGGTGATCTCTAATCTTTCTAGTCCTATGAGTTTGCCTATTCTGTATATTTCATATATATATGTGGAATCATACATATTTGTCTATGAGTCTGGCTTATTTCATTTTTCAAAGTTCGTTCAAGTTCTAGCATGTAACAGAACTGCATTCCTTTTTATTGCTGAATAATATAGTTATTCATGTATGTTGGTGGACACTTAGGATGTTTTCATATTTCTAATTTTTAGTTATGAATAAAGCTGCTATGGACATTCAAGTACTAGTCTCTATGTGGACAGATGTTTTCATTTCTCTTGGATAAATATGTAGAAGTGGAATTACGTGATCATTCGGTAAGTGAATGTTTAACCTTATAAGAAACTGCCAAGTTTATTTCCCAAGTGGTGGTACCATTCGCATTCTTACCAGGTCTCTCTGGGCGTTCCAGTTGCTCCACATCCTCACTGACACTTGGTATAGTCCAAATTTTTAACTATCACAATTCCAGTGGGTGTGTAGTAGGATCTTATTTTGGTTTTAATTTGCATTTTCCTGTGTTAATCATGTTGGGTATCTTTTCATGTTCTTAGTTGTTATATATATATATATATATATATATATATATATATATATATATATGGTGAGATGAAACAAAGTATCTATTCAAATCTTTTCCCCATTTTTTAATCATTGTTTGTCTTCTTATTATAGAGTTTTAGATACACGTCCTTTGTCAAATGTTATGTATTGACATTCCCATACATATTCACAAAATGTATATTTTATTTTCTCCCAGCCTGTGGTTTGCTTCTTCGTGTCCTTAATGATGTCTTTTGAAGGGCAACATTTAAAAAAAAATGTTTTTATTGATTTCAGAGAGAGAAGGGTAGGGGGATAGAGAGAAACATTGATGTGAATAGATCAATTGTGGTATATCCATACAATTGAATACTACTAGGCAATAAAAAACAAAAAACCTCAATAGTATTATGCTAAGTGAAAGAAGCCAGAAACAAAGACTACTCACTGTATGATGGGATGAGGAGAATGTGTGTATGAGTCGAAGTTGGCAGAAAATGGAGCAATTAAACCCTATCCATTGGGGGATATTTATAAGAGGCTGAGTTTTTAAGCAAGTTCCTTGGTTCTTCTGTCTGACCCTGGGAGGTGAAGTATCTGTGTCTGTCTTCCCCACCCCATACTCCCAGTAGCAGAGCTACCATGACCCTCCTCCCTTCGTTCCAGGACGCTGTGCTCTCCCTGCAGGATGGCGTGCTCGAGGACCTGCTCCCGCATCCTGGGGCTGAGCCTCGGGACTACAGCCCTGTTTGCTGCTGGGGCCAACACGGTGCTCCTCTTTCCTAACTGGGATGTGACCTACCTGTTGAGGGGCCTCATTGGCAAACATGCCATGCTGGGCTCTGGGCTCTGGGGAGGAGGCCTCATGGTAAGTGTCCTGGGTTCTCTGAGTGAGAACTCCCAAAGTGCCCCCCAGGGATGAAGCAGGAAGGTGAAGGGGGAGGAGTGTTTTGATTCCTTGCAAATGAGTTTGATCTAACAAGCTGGTCTGGAGTCTATAGCAACTCCAAAGGATAGAAGAGTCTAGGACAGCGGCTCTCAACCTGTGGGTCGCGACCCCTTTGGGGGTCGAATGACCCTTTCACAGGGGTCGCCTAAGACCATCGGAAAACACATATATAATTACATATTGTTTTTGTGATTAATCACTATGCTTTATGTTCAATTTGTAACAATGAAAATACATCCCGCATATCAGATATTTACATTACGATTCATAACAGTAGCAAAATTACAGTTATGAAGTAGCAAAGAAAATAATTTTATGGTTGGGGGTCACCACAACATGAGGAACTGTATTAAAGGGGCGCGGCATTAGGAAGGTTGAGAACCACTGGTCCAAGAAGACTTGCTGGATTTTGGACTAGGCATACTAGGTGTGAACGTTGCCATCAACAGAGTCAGGGCAGGCTAGTCATCCCAAACTGGGTCCTGACAGGCAAAACCAAACCCTCTGGGAAAGAGAGGATAATCAAGTCCATGTGGTACAACAGCCACAGGTGGCGGCGGCAAGAAGTGTCCATTACCCAGTCTCGTCCTAACGCTCTTTCTCCTCTCCCAGGTGCTCACTGCAGCCACCCTCATCTCCCTGATGGGCTGGCGATACGGCTGCTTCAGCAAGAGTGGGCCCTGCCGAAGCGTAAGCACCAGACTTCACTCTTCTAATGCCTAGAATGTCCCCACATCCCATTACTTCAGAGGCCGAGTGGTAAAAAGGCAATTTTGGTCTTGGGGTTTGAAGTCAGGTCCTGATCATGCCCCTTAATCACCTAAGCTCTTGGGCAAGTTGCTTAACTTTTCTGAGCCTCAGGTCCTCATCTGTAAAATGGGGGTTAACAGAATCAAGTCAATGACCCTGTTATTTAATTAACCATAAATGTAATGAACCATGAATGTTGTAATGAACCATAAATGTCTATACAAATGTGAGAACTGTTGTTATTAATTTTTTATCTTATTGAACAATATGAACATGAGTTATGTACATTGCAATCATGTTGTTTTATAATTTTAATATATTTTTATTGATTTCAGAGAGGAAATTGAGAGGTAGAGAGAGAGAGAAACATTAATGATGAGAGAGAGAGAATCATTGATTCGCT